ATGATAAATGGAGAAAAGATTGAAGTTGTCAAGGATTTCATTTTACTTGGATCCACAATCAATGCCCATGGAAGCAGCAGTCAAGAAATCAAATGACATATTGCACTGGGCAAGTCTGCTGCAATAAACCTCTTTAAAGTGTTAAAGAGGACTAAGGTGTGCCTGACCCAAGCCATGGTGTTTTCAATCACCTCATATGCATGCAAAAGCTGGACAATGAATAAGGAAGACTGAAGAAGAACTGACACCTTTAAATTATGGTGTTGGCAAAGAATATGGACTGCCAGAAGAACGAACAAGTCTGTCTTGGAAAAAATACAGCCAGAGTGCTCCTTGGAAGCAAGGATCGTGAACCTTCATCTCACATACTTTGGACATGTCCCCAGGTGGGACCAGTCCCTGGAGAAGGACATTATGCTTGGTAAAGTAGAGGGTCAGTGAAAAAGAGAAAGACTGTCAATGAGATGGACTGACACAGTGACTACAACAATGATTTCAAAAATAGCAAAGATAGTGAGGATGGCGCAGGACCAACCGGGCAGTGTTTCTTTCTGTTGTGCGTAAGGTCGCTATGAGTTGGAACTGACTCAATGGCACCTAACAACAACGCAACTCTCAAAGTAAAGGTTAGGCTTCAAGAGTCAATATAGGAAGGGGCAAATGAGTCCCCAAACTCACCACTAACGGACATGAAATCTGTGGAGTAAAAGGAAAGTTTGAGTAGAACACATGAATCCTAAGATGCTAGGTAAGCACCATAATCCAGTTGCAAACAAAGTCGGTGCAATTTTTTTCCTTTGGAGACTGATCTCTAAGAATTTCCCTGAGGAAATTGTGTCTAATTGAGTCCTTGAGCTAATCTGGCAGCATAAAGTTCTCCATGATCTGCCAGCTGGGGTTCTGGTGAAAATGAGGGTTGCTATATTTTTCTCCTGAAATTGGAGGAGACCATATGGGAAAATCCACAAATAGAAATTTTGGTTTATTCCTAGAGCACCTTGGAGAGTGGGGTCTGTAAAAGCTCTGGTTCTCAGCACCAAGGGAATCAGAAGAGTTTATACTCAATGCTGTCGGCTTTATACACTAACAGAACCATTTTATATCCTGGTTAACAGTAAAAAACAATGCATGAGGCCCGGCATTGAGAGGGCCAGGAGAAGGAAGGTGGTTGTCTAAATCCCTTCTTTTCTGATGGTTCTCTTTATCACCCACAACCAAAGGCTCTGGGAAATATTGACCCCTTCCCTGCTCTCAGTACTAATCCGGGGGTGAGATTCAGTGACGGCTCTTAGACGAGGAAGGTAGGATGTGCAGCAACAGTAGTGGGCACTCTCAGCTTTCTCTCCAGAGTAGGAACCTGGTATCTAGTTGGGAGAGAAGCCAGAGAATGGGAAGAGAAAATGGGGAGAATGAGAGTTTCCATCTCTCAGAGCCTGGGCATGCTCCTCAGGCAGTGGGTCTAGGTTGTACTCCTGGATCATTGCGTGTCTTTCTGGGAGCCCTTGGGCAGCTGTTTCAGATATGCTGTATCATTTATCTCTCAATCAGGGACGGAATTATTGCTGCCCATCCTAAGAGACTCTAGGCTGGATTCATGATCATCCTAGGGGAGTTGAGGTATTGTCCCAGACACATTGTCAATACATTGAAGGAAGAAAGGGAAAAGAAGGACGGACATCCATGCACTGACTGATCTTCCTGAGCCTTCTCCTAGCAGCCATGCTTGAATCCAGCACCACTCTATGTGTTTTATTCCATATTCCACAGACAATTTTCCAGAAGAGAATAGAGAATGACTCAGAGAAACAGCTCCTCGGTGACTGAGTTTATCCTTGTGGGATTATCAGAACAATCAGAGGTCCAGCTCCCCCTCTTCCTTCTATTCTTAGGGATCTATGTGTTCACCGTGGTGGGAAACTTGGGCTTGATCACCCTAATTGGGCTGAATTCTAGTCTTCACACCCCAATGTACTTTTTTGTCTTCAACTTGTCCTTTATAGATCTCTGTTATTCCTGTGTCTTTACTCCAAAAATGTTGAATGATTTTGTGTCAGAAAATATCATCTCTTATGTGGGAGGCATGACTCAACTATTTTTCTTCTGCTTCTTTGTCAACTCTGAGTGCTATGTGTTAGTCTCAATGGCCTATGATTGCTACGTGGCCATCTGTAACCCTTTTCTGTACATTGTCACCATGTCCCCTCAAGTCTGTTCTCTGCTGATGTTTGGTTCATACGTGATTGGTTTTGCTGGGGCCATGGCCCACACTGGAAGCATGCTGAGACTCACCTTCTATGATTCTAACGTTATCAACCATTATCTGTGTGAAGTTCTCCCTCTCTTGCAGCTCTCCTGCACCAGCACCCATGTCAATGCGCTGGCGTTTTTTATTGTTGGTGGAGTTGTCATCACAATATCCAGTGTCGGCATTTTCATCTCTTATGCTTTGATTCTCTCCAACATCCTATGTATTCCCTCTGCTGAGGGCAGATCCGAAGCCTTTATCACATGTGGCTCCCACATAATTGCTGTTGCTCTGTTTTTTGGGTCAGGGGCATTCACCTATTTAACAACTTATTTTCCTAGATCTATGGACCAGGGTAGATTTGCCTCAGTCTTCTACACCAATGTAGTTCCCATGCTTAATCCTTTGATCTACAGTTTGAGGAATAAAGATGTTAAGCTTGCCCTTGGCAAAACTCTGAAGAGAGTGCTCTTTTAATGGTTTTACTTGATTTGTTGGGAATTGTTTCCTGGTAAGCATCATACTCAGACACATTTTTATCTACAGGTGGAGGGATTTTAATCTTTCAAACAATGTCTTCTCTCTGCTTCCAAAAATTAGAAATCTCTTGCCTATTCTATTTTCTTGGATTGCATCATTTTGTACCATTTAAATTGGTTCACTACATGAAACCTAGCATCTGTTAAGTGCCTATTGTTTACTGAACTCTATACTAGTCTCAAGAGATGAGTAAGATGAGGCTCTATGTCTTCTATCCTTTTCTTGGCAGGCAAATGGGTTTGTCCAAGCAGAAATACATTTCTGGCTGGGAAATGGAGCAGGCGGAAGTAAGAGAGTACAGGAGAGTGAATTTATTTTTTCCTCAGTTATGGGAACAGCTTTACCAAAGACCAAAGGTAGGTACGTTGTTGCCATAGGTAACAAAGTCTTTCAACCTTTAGAGAGGTTTCTTGGCCAGGAAGATCATAAGTCCTCCCTTTCATGCACGTACACAAAGGAGAAGGGCTGGCCCAATAATTTTACATGACTTGAAATGTAATGATAAACCAAAATCTTTCATTGCAAAGTTTTAAAACTCCTGGGCCTTGGGATGGTTATCATGGAGTAGGTAATCTTGTAATTGGGCCCATTTCTTAGTCTCCGGAGGGTTCAGGCTGAAAGCAAAAGAAGAACAAAGGAGAACATCCATGGATCTGTGTGATTATGTTAAATGCTACTTCTATCCTGTCCTAGAGACACTGTAGAGATTATGGAGCATTTAGGAAAATGATTTTGTTCTTTGGAGTAGATTTAGATTCTCTGAGAATTTATGTGTTTGTGTGTGTGTGTGGGCACAAGACAGAGAGACAAAGAGAGAGAGGGAGAGAATGAGAGAGAGAGAGTTATAGTTAACCATTAGAGAATCAGGAAGAAGAGGAGGCATATTATACTTCTCAGTCTCAGGGAGACCTGCAATCAGTCTGGATTTTGAGTTCCAAAGACTATTCTGTAGTACTCAGTTGAAGATTCTACTCTTCTACGTTGAATAGCTCAGATTTGGGGGAATACTTCCTCATAAACTGCCCAGAAGGTGAGGAAGAAGATGGACCTAGGGCCAGCCAACCCAAATGGAAAGGTGGGAGGGTAAGCTCACAGTGTGGTCAGAAGAATGCGGCACTCTCTGAGCGAAGGCTAGGAATTTGGGGGTGTCTTTGAGGGGAACCTCTGTGAAGAGTATTTGCTGCTTTTTTGGATTAATGGAGAGTCATAAAGTACCAAGTGTATATCTTTTGTTATGCTTATATTTCCCCAACTCTTCCATAAAATCAGATAGTTTCATAGTGTGTGTTGCGAGGAATGAGGTAGTAAAAGGAAGTAAGGCCTTCATTTGCCTCACATTTACTTTTCTGCTGGCAATCGTAGAGATGCAAGCATCATCCCCAGAAGAAAGGTAGTCCAAGTGTTCCAGGTCATGGCCAGGAACAAGGAGGCCTAAGGAGGAGCTGAGAGCAGCACAGAGAAGCATCTGCAGCATGGAACGAACTGAGGAGGAGACCTAAGATCAGCCTTATTTTCTCCAGATATGCTACAGGGAGGAGATCTTTGAAGAAGGTGAAATAATATGATACCTGGATTATACTTAGATTATGATAAATAATGATACTTAACATTTACTGAGAGGAAAGACCTGGCAATCTACTTCTAAAAAAATCAGGCATTGAAAACCCTACGGACCAGTTCTACTCTGACATACATGGGGTAACCATGAGTCAGAATTGACTTAATGGCAGCTGGTCTGGTTTTTGGTTTTAACACTTCCTGAGCATGTACTGTATGTTTGTGCACTGTTTGAGGTGCCTACATATACTAATTCATTTTTGGGGATTAAATTAATGCCATACTGAACCTTGTAATTCTGTCCTCTGGGCCTAGATGAACCCTATTCTCCAGAGGACTGTCTGTGTCTCAGCCCATGAAGATCTTGGGATGTTAGGAAAGAGTTAAGAATGAGGAAGGATACAATTAAATCTACTTTGATAAAGATGAAGAAAAAAAAAAAAATCAATTACCAGTGGTAGAAATGAGTAGGAAAAAGGAGCAAGTCAAGGCTATAAGGATCTGAATGGAAAGGAATATTTATGTAATAAAAGCATTAAAATTCAAGGATAACTTTGCCTACATTTATTCCATATTGGCACTAGCATGAGTAGAAGTGAAACTGTAAGTTAGAATTAGTGAGACACTGGCTTGGATCTTTTAGAATCCAGTCCATTTGTGACTGAAGATCTGAAATGACTGGTTCTGGCAGCAGCTAGATAAGAGCCATCTAATGCTCCCACAGAAAAATACAACATTTTGTACATTTTGAAGGTCTTCAGCTCTCTCACAAACCAAGGCTAGGTCATCTTGCACATACTTTCACGTTGTGTTGAGGACTTGTTGGTTCTCATTGGTCAGCAAATAAGAACAGGCTTGGGGACTTCTGCCTTACAGTAACTAACAGATGTGATCTGATGGCTCGGTGTCAGGCTTCATAAAGTGAATCCCTCTGCCACAGTACCACAGTTCTGTTACTTCACGACATCACAACATTTTGATTTGAAGGAAGGTCAATTTTTTTCTCTTTGCTAAACATTCTTAAAATTGAGATTCTCTTGGGTTCAGCCCTTGGTCTACTTTTATTCTCAGTTCTGCCTGAGGCATCTCTCCAGCTCTCATGGCTTCAACAACCACATATCTGATGATGAGTTCCAAAGCCATAATGCTGGTCCTGATCTATAATCAGTTGTAAGTTAGAAACATAAAAGTATTATCAACACTGACGTCCAGTCTTGGGGGTGGTGTAGTCTTTCAGTGTAAGGAAGGATAAACTGCTCTAGGTGTTTATGAATTCTCTTTATGTTCCAAACAGGTGGGAGAGTGCAGATTTAAGTGATAGACACCAAGAAGTGGGATTGAGCGTCCAAGAGGAGCTTTCCATGGAGCTTGGGAGGGAAAGGTCAAAGGGTTTCCTATATCTGTGGAGCAGAGGGGAGGATGTTCGTGACTCAGTGCTAGCCCCAGCCTAAGTGTTAGGAGAGATACATGCTATGCTCCCTCTCCTCACGGCTCTACAAAAGAAATACATCATTTACTAATTGCTTCAGCTGCTAGTAATAAAAGTCTGACTACAGTGGCTTAAACACAAGGTTTCATTTTTCCATCACATAAAAGACATCTAGAGGTAAGCAGTCCAGGGCTGATATGACAGTGCTGAGTCATCAAGGATGCAGCCTCTCTCTACCCTTCTTTTCTTAGTAGTGACTTCATTCTCACTAATGCATCACTGTTTTCAGATGACTGCTAGAGCTTCTGCTGTTTTGTCCACATTCCAAGCAACAGGAAAGAAAAAGGGCAAGGAAAGCAAAAGGGTGCTTTCAAAGCTGAGCATCTTCCACTGACATCTCATTAGCCACCTCTGCCTGTAAGGAAGACTGGGAAACTTAGCATTTTACTTTAGAACATTGCCACTGTGGGAAAAAGAACAGGGCTTTGTTACTAAGTAAGAAAGGGAAAACGGCCATTGGGTAGGCAACTAGCAATTTCTACCAAAGGACAGGATTTGATTTCACTCACCAGAAGTGAGCAGTTCTTAAGTGAACATTTTTTCATCCTTGTTTTTGCTTTCTAACTTGGTCCACTCTATGAGAGGAGACTAGATTAATCTGAAAGATAAGATTGAAAGAGACTGACAGGTTGGCCATTGATAGAAACGTGCCAGTGTCTCTTCATTATTGACCTGCTGGTACTGAAGCTCTTGGCAAAACTGAGCCAGATCTGTGCTATTTCATTTCCAACATCTTCTCCTGTCACTGATTTGACTGATAAGTTAGGGTCTAGGTTCTGGGAGGGAAGTTTAAGCCCTGACATATTTTCCTCTTTAGATTTTCTATTAATAAAGATGTCATGGTATTTGATCCTCTTGTCTCTTTATGCTTGTCCTCACTAGTTAGATCCCATAGGGAGTTAGAGTGAGTGAAGAATACTGCTAAACCTCCCACATACATAAAGTGTAGCTCAAGTACGGCCATGGACAAAGGAGTTCATTGAGAGCTAATATGGAAATTGGACAAGAAAAATTAGGCTAGGGTATCCTTAATTTCACAGAAAAGTAAGAAGATGAGCTTATTTCTCAAGACTCCTCTGTTCACTTAATGGCTCAACAGATAGATACTCACTCAACTCTTGCAAAGTGACAGTTAGAGAGTTCAAGATCTCACTTCATGGGATCATTGGGACATTAGTTGTCTTTTGTTTCCGTTGATATGCACAGTCATATGCCTTAATTGGTAAATAAACTGAGACAGGATTGACATTGCTTTCTGAAAGTTGAGAATCTTATTTAGAACATGTTCCTAATTAGAACAATTTTACATATCCTTGGCGGTGAAACAAGAGTGCCTAAAAACTGACAAACAAATGACAAAAGAATAAACATATTTAAACAGTGCAAAGTAAGCATTGAGGAAGGATTTATTATTGGCTAAAATGGGGTGGTGGAGAAGAGGGAAGGGGTAGGAAGAGGAAATGCATTATTGTACCATTGATTATTGTAGGAAAGTAAAAGATACATTAAAGATATCAAATAAAATTATAATTATCCAGGTATACACTAGAACAAAAATGCAAACCTTTCTAAATAACAGAACTTTTCACACATACACACAAAGAAGGCAAACCACCTAGTGAATAATATAAAATAATGTAAATGTAAAATGAGAAAACATAGCAAAATATTTTGATAAAACTAAAGCAAGGATTTATATTACATTAACGAAGGTAAATACCTAACCTCTCTATTAGAAGAAAAACACAAACTGGACCAAAAAACAAAATACCACCCCATGCTGCAAAAAGAAACCCACCTAAAACCAAGTGATTCAAAAAGATTGAAAATGCAAAATGGTGGCCAAAGATACATGAGGTAAATAAAAATAGCCAACCAAACAAAAAAACGTAAAGTATGGGTATCAGCCAAAATGGAAATCAGGTAAAAAGATGTTAAATAAGATAACTTTATAAGGCTACAGGGTACAATTCCTAAAGACTATGTAATGGTTGTTACTCTCTATACACCTAATAACAAAACATCCGGAGCTACGAGGAGCTATAAGCACACTAGGAGAGAGAAACTAATTTCTCTCTCTTGGTTTATGGTAAAATAAGATTACAGAAAAAGAGGAAGAGGAAGGATATAGAAAACGTAAATAAGATTACCTAATTTATATAGGTTATATATAATAAATCTAAATTATATATGTATATGTATATAAATGTGTGTGTGTATACTTCTGTGTTCTAGAAATTAGAATACACTTTCTTAACAAGAGTCCAAGAAACAGTCACAGAAATTGAGTGAATATTATGTCACAAAAGCAAACTCTTGTTGAGAGTCTTCCTGTTTTTCGCTGATCCTCTGCTTTACTAAGCATGATGTCCTTCTCCAGGGATTGTCCCTCCTGAAACATGTCCAAATTATGTGACAAGTCTCACCGTCCTTGCTTCTAATGCGCATTCTGGCCGTACTTTTTCCAAAACAGATATGTTTATTTTTCTGGCAGTCCATGGATATACTCAATATTGTTCGTGAACAGCATAATTCAAATGCATCAATTCTTCTTTGGTCTTCCTTATTCATTGCCCAGTTTTCAAATTCATATGAGGCGACTGAAAACACCATGGCTTGGGTCAGGCACACCTTAGTCCTCAAAGTGACATCTTTGCTTTTTAACACTTTAAAGAGGTCTTTTGTAGCAGATTTGCCCAATGCAATAAGTCTTTTGATTTCTTGACTGCTGCTTCCATGGGTGTTGATTGTGGATCCAAGTAAAATGAAATCCTTGACAACTTCAACTTTTCTCCAATTATCATGATGTTGCTTATTGGTCCAGCCATGAGGATTTTTGCTTTCTTTATGTCGAGACGCAATCCATACTAAAGGCTGTAGTCTTTGATCTTCATCAGTAAGTGCTTCCAGTCCTCTTCACTTTCAGCAAGCAAGGTTATGACATCTGATAATGCAGATTGTTAATGCATCTTCCTCCAATCTTGATGCCCTGTTCTTCTTCACAGAGTCCAGCTTCTTGGATTATTTTCTCAGCATATCGACTGAATAAGTATGATGGTGAGAGGATACAACCCTGATACACACCATTCTCGACTTTAAACCACGCAGTATCCCCTCGTTCTGTTCAAACGACTGCCTCTTGTTCTATGTGCAGGTTCCCCATGAGCACAATTAAATGTTCTGGAGTTCCCATTCTTTGCAATGTTATCCATAATTTGTTATGATCCACACAGTCAAATGCCTTTGCATAGTCAATAAAACATAGGTAAATATCTTTCTGGTATTCTCTACTTTCAGCCAGGATCCATCTGACATCAGCAATGATATCCCTTGTTTCATGTCGTCTTCTGAATCTGGCTTGAATTTCTGGCTTTTGAATGATTTCAGCAAAATTTTACTTATGTGTGATATTAATGATATTGCTTGATAATTTCCACATTCAGTTGCATCACCTTTCTTTGGAATGAGCCCAAAATATGGATCTTTTCTAGTCAGTTGGGCAGGCAGCTGTCCTCCAAATTTCTTGGCATAGACAAGTGAGCACCTCCAGGGCTGCATCACTTTGTTGGAACATCTCAATTGGTATTCCGTCAATTCCTGGAGCCTTGTTTTTTGCCAATGCCTTCAGTGCAGCTTGGACTTATTTTTTCAGTACCATTGGTTCTTGATCATATGCTACCTCTTGAAATGGTTGAATGCCAACCAATTCTTTTTGGTACAGTGACTCTGTGTATTCCTTCCATCTTCTTTTGATGCTTCCTGTGTTGTCCAATATTTTTCCCATAGAATCCTTTAATATTGCAACTTGAGGGTTGAATTTTTTCTTCAGTTCTTTCAGCTTGAGAAATGCTGAGCGTGTTCTGCCCTTTTGGTTTTCTAACTCCAGGTCTTTGCAAATTTCATTATAATGCTTTGTCTTCTTGAGCTGCCCTTTGAAATCTTCTGTTCAACTCTTTTACTTCATCATTTCTTCATTTTACTTTAGCTACTCTTTATTCAAGAGCAAGATTCAGAGTCTCTTCTGACATCCATTTTGGTCTTTTCTTTCTTTCCTGAGTCTCTTCTGACATCCATTTTGGTCTTTTCTTTCTTTCCTGTCTTTTTAATGACCTCTTGCATTCTTCATGTATGATATCCTTGATGTCATTCCACAAATCATCTGGTCTTCAGTCATTACTGTTCAATGCATAAAATCTGTTCCTGAAATGGTCTCTAAATTCAGGTGGGATATACTCAAGGTCATACTTTGGCTCTCATGGACTTGCTCTAATTTTATTCAGCTTCAACTTGAATTTGCATATGAGCAATTGATAGTCTGTTCCACGGTCAGCCCTTGGCTTTGTTCTGACTGATGATACTGAGCTTCTCCATTGTCTTTTTCAACAGATGTAGTCGATTTGATTCCTGTGGATTCCACCTGGTGAGGACCACAGGCATTCTCGCCATTTATATTGTTGAAAAAAAAATTGCAAGAAAGAAGACATTAGTCTTGCAAAATTCTATCAAGCAATCTCCGGCATCGTTTCTATCACCAAGGCCATATTTGCCAACCACTGATCCTTCTTTGTTTCCAGTTTTCACATTCCAATCACCAGTAATTACCAGTACATCTTGATTGCATGTTTGAACAATTTCAGACTGCAGAAGTTGGTAAAAATCTTCAATGCTTCATCTTTGGCCTTAGTGGTTGGTATGCAAATTGAATAATAATCATATTAACTGGTCTTCCTTGTAGGCATATGGTTATTATACTGTCACTGACAATGTTGTACTCCAAGATAGCTCTTGAAATGTTTTTTTTTTTGGACAATGAATGCGACACCATTCCTCTTCAATTTGTCATTCCTGGCACAGGAAGACCCTATAATTGTCCAATTCAAAATGGCCAATAGCAGTCCATTTCAGCTCACTAATGCCTAGTATAATGGACAGACGTGTGGTGGAAAAAGTAAGATGTAAGGGGGAAATAATCATAGAAACAGAGGAAATAAAAAATAAAAATAAACTGCTTTGTTCAGCTTTATTCGTATGAATAAACCTGGATGAAATAGACCATTTTCTAGGAAAATGTAACTTAATAAAATGAATTCTGGAACAAACATAAAATCTAGTGTCCAATTCTATAGAAGAAATGAAGAATGTTGTTAATTATATTGTAAAAATTGCCAGTTCCAGATGGCTTTGCAGGAAAATTTTACCAAAGAACAGATCATTCCAATACTATTTAAACTGGTCCAGAATCTAGAAAAAGAAGAAAAACTCCCAAATTATTTTCATGAAGTCAGCATAACATTGATGTTGAAATCTGACAAGGAAATTACAGACCATCCTCACTTAATAAACGTCAATACAAATCCTTAAATAAAACACTGTCAAACATTATTCACCCTCAAATAAAAGAATAGGTCACCATATCTAAGTGGGGTTTGTTCCATGAATGCATGGATGATTCAACATGAAACCTGCTGAAGTAATTTATTTATTGGTAGAGTCAAGGAGAAAATCATATGATTATCTTGACAGATACTTAAAACATAGCTATTAAAATTCATCATCAATTTTAAATCAATTCACTTCATAAAATAGGACCTGTTAGAATCAGTTTGAAGCTTGGACCTTTCTCTTTTTTTTTTTTTTGAATTGGAACTAAAAATCCTGTTGGCTC